TCTACATTTCTAATCCATTTCTAATCATTACTAATCATTTCTACATTCTACATCATTACAAAAGACAGTGCTGTAAAAGAAAATCATCTCTTAAAAAAAAAAAAAAAAAAAAGCTGTAGTTTTCAAGAACTATCACATATATTTTTATTACTATTTGTATTCACCAGGAAAATAAATATTCATGCATGTGGATGGTTTAGAAAAAATTATTAGAGACTAAAACTTCTATTGTTACCAAAACACAATACAAAACCAAAGCAAAGAGCTGGTTGAGCTTCTAACAAAATACTAGGATCTAAAAAGCCAGGGTTCAAATAAATGAGAGAACTTACTCTATTAGGCAGCATTCTTTATTTTTTCACATTCACAACAATAACCAGCCCCTAAACAGCTGACAATACCACAGTCTCAGTGAGGAGTTAATTAAAATTACAGAAGAAAAGAGTACTCTGCTATTAGGTTGTAGGGCTAAATAAAGCAAGCACTAAGTCCTTCTATCTTCCTAGGGGTAGCTGTATGGAAATGGGAAGTGAATCAGCAGAATAAGAAACACTTTAGTTTCTTAATAAATGCTACAGCTTGATAAAGCTTACCACATATTTAAAGAGAACCTATTATATATACAGACAACAGAACGTTTTTGAACTAAACTGTAGCAATGCTCCATTACCCTCAGCCAACTGTCAAGACTTGTCAAAATATGTATTTCAAGGATTCTTTTCACCGTAAAAGTTAAAGAAATTACTTCAGAGAGATTTCTTACTTCATAGTTATGCAGATGGCATCTTCTAATGAAATGCATTGGCAAGAATAACTACCTTCAGATGAGTACCAGGGCAAGCAGCCATGAACCCTTTAAAAAGTATTAAAAATTTTGTGCATATGTACATTTTGGTGATAAAAGGAGTTATAATTTTTATAGGATTCTCAAAGGTATCTGTGGCCTAAAAAGTTTTCATGGTTCACTCTGCAAAGCACCATTGCATGCTTCATTTAATTTAATGTCACAATTCCAATGTTCTCCTAACGGTCTTTTTTATAGTTTACACCATGTATTCTCAAGTGAGGAGATATTTACTCCCAAGAAGGCAAAAATTGGTTCTTGGGGTGTGAAAAAATTCCTAGATGTCATAATCGTATATTGCCCTCATAGTACTTAGTATATCTTGTGGTATTAAGATTTCATGGGGACTGTGGGTGAAAAGGAAAAACAGTTTTTAACAAGGCTCCTTAGGGGAGCAACTAAAAAGAAAAAAATTGAGAAACGCTGGTTTACACTAAAAACACAAAGGGTAACAGATAACAATTACAAGAGTAAGTGCCAGTGCAGAGTAACATGCAGGGTATGAAAACCAGTCATAGAAGCAGAGCAGCATAAATACTATTCTTTGTCCCTCACACAGCGTAACTGCTCTATGAAAAAATGGACTCTGAAAACAAGTTGATGAATAAACATGTACATATGTCGACTAAGCCTCTGAAATGTCTACTGCAACATTTCTACTTTCACTACATTAGTATCCTCACAACACTTTAAGACATATTCAATATACAACAAAATTATGCAATAGTAAAAAACCTCAACTCTTAAAAATTAGAATACTTACTTTCTTCCTGCATCCGGGCTAGAATCTGTACATCAGTTACATCATTTAGCTTATAATTGGATCCAATTGAATCTTCATCTAATTCTGAAGCACTTAACTCACTATCTATAGAGGACTGAGGACTGAGTGGAGGATTTCTGTCTGAGCTTTTCAAGTTACCTTAAAAAAAAGAAAAAAAATTCAAACTTTGGTAAAGCAACTATTGAATAAATGCCTACTGTAACTAACTTGATATTGTATCTTTTAATTCATTCTTGTTCTGCCTTTTCTGCTTAAAAAATTCCCTGAAATTAGAAATTGACTTCATTAAGAAAAATGAGGGCTACTGAGACTCCTTTATATGCTATGGCATAAACATATTTTCATCTAAGTATAACTTATCTATTCTCTTATGTAACAATTCAGCTTTCAACACAAAGTAATTGGTGTTCAATAACTATATGTTAAGGATTTCAACTTGCACAAGATAGCCAATGAAACTGCTCTATAAATAGATGAGTTTATGATGTAGTGTTTTCTTCACTCGAATTCACAGTCATTAACAAACACCATCATCTTTTCCCTCATTTTTCTAAATGAGAAAACTGTAATTTGAATAAAATTAGATTCCTTAGAGATTTTAGGAACAAAGACCATGAGGCTTGTTTCTCCTACATTATGCCATGTTTTACAAAACTTCTTTACCAAATTAGTAATGGGGATCTAAGGATTTCTCTGAAGTTTAGTAGTGAAGCACGAAAGATGTGATGAAAAAAAAAAAAAGACTAGATTTTTAAAAAGTACTTATCATTCTAAACGAAGACAGAAAACAGACCAGAGAGATAAAGAATACACACATCTAAAAAAAGTCTAACTTGTTTCTAATGAAATATTTTCATCAGATCACCAACTTTTACTAAATAATAAAATCCCAACATTGCCACTAATATTTCTATTACAGATTTATCTGAAACACTTGTTTTCCATTATTCTTCACCATAACAGTCAGCTCCAACATGAAAAGCATGTAAGGAGAGCAAGAAGAGTACAAAATAATTAATCTTTATACTATCAATGAAAGAAGAGCAGAGTGCACATGATATTAAAAGTACTACAAGGTCAGGCTCAAATAATGCCTGAACGAAATTACCTATTTTAAACAAATATTGCAGCTTAAATTTTTTAACATGGTATCATCGTAGGTGAAGTAAGTAGCAAGTAACAACCTATATACTAAGCAAAGAGCAGGATCATTAGACTAGGGAGTGCAGAGGTCAAAATTTGAGGTGGTTAACCTTAATTTTTAAGGAAGTTATAATAATCAGCCATAACAACAGCTTCAGCGACAATAAGAGTAAATGAATGGGTGAATTCGTGAAGAGTAGGCTACACAGTAACAGTCTCACACAAAGAACCAGTGCAGAACATTCTTTCCCTGGTTTATAGAAATCTGGCCTTCCCACATCATTTACTGCCCCTCTCACTCTTTTGGTACATTCACCCCTAACCTCATACTATTATTTAGCTGCAGTATCAAAATTTATTAAAATTCCTATAAAGAGGTTTTAACTATGGCGTTTTTACAACCGAGGTAGGCTGTTCAATAAGGCTCTATTGATTAAAAGAATCATGTTTGTAACCCATTTAATTAAGCCAGACTTAAAAACTTTTCGGTACATGCTAAAAAAAATTTTATGTATTTTACACACTGGCTTATGTGTGCCTGATATAGTACCTGGTGCTAAGTTGCTCCTCAATGATATTTTCTTTAGCCAGTTAAAAGTTTCATAAGTAAAATGAACTCGAACTACAGATGAATGTTATTTTCTGATACAGTGCAGTAAGCTAAAAAACAGTCCTTAATAGCTCCATATCATTTTCTCCTTACCTGAATTTCCAGGAAGTATAAGCTGTTTGACTATAGGAGGTCGCACGGGTGTTGAGGATGGAGAATTGAAGCCACTGCTGTATGGGCTACTGGCATTTGGACTGTAAGGACTTGTATAACTCATAGAGTTGAAAGGATTATTATATAAATTCTGCCTCTTGAGAGCTGCATTAATGAGAAGGGGAAAATCAAATTTAATAACTGAGAAAAAGTTAACATTTCATTTCTAAAGTTTTCCTATTAGAAAATTAAATCATTATCTATCTCAATTTAAATGAAAAATATTCTTATGGTAGTGGGAGAAAAATATAATAATCCCAACAAATTGTTTCTATTATCTTAAATTGTGTATGCAAATAAAACCGTAGCCACACCAAACAACAAAAATAATGCAGGAAAAGTAACTCCTGAACAGATTATTGGCCGCTTAATTCACTTCTACCATGTTGGAAAGTTTATTCTTTGATACTTGCTGTATCAATCCTGAGTGACCTTTAAAAATAAATGGAATATAAAAGCATACTTATGTTTTCTCATTTTTCTGTAACAAACGTATTACTTTTCATTTAAAAAAATATTCTTTGGGCCAGGCATGGTGGCTCACGCCTGTAATCCCAGCACTTTGGGAGGCTGAGGTGGGTGGATTACTCGAGGTCAGGAGTTTGAGACCAGCCTGGCCAAAATGGTGAAACCCTGTCTCTACTAAAAAAAAATAAATACAAAAATTAGCCAGGCATGGTGTTGCGTGCTACTTGGGAGGCTGAGGCAGGAAAATCACGTGAACTCGGGAGGCAGAGGTTGCAGTGAGCAGGCAGAGGTTGCAGTGAGCAGAGATCGTGCCACGGCACTACAGCCTGGGCTACAGAGTGAGACTCGTCTTGAAAAAATATATATATATTTTTTGGAGAGATGTGATCTTACCATGTTGCCCAGACTGGTCTCAAACTCCTGGCCTCAAGTGATCCTCCCATCTTGGCCTCCCGAAGTGCTGGGATTACAGGGGTGAGACACTGCACTCAACCTATGACTTTTTTAAAAAGCTAAGAAATAAGTTGTTTAAATAGCCTTTGCAAAGTTTGGATTTTTTTTTTTAAAGCAATGCCAACTATTATGAAGCCAGTTTAAGGTCAAGACATGGGAAATCCTTTAAAAAAAAAAAAAGCCAACCTGACTACTTCTGTCAAAAAAAGAAAAAAAAAACTGTGCTATGCATATACAATTAAATAAATAGAACAGTAGGACTAAGATATCAAATGCACATACTTAAAAAATTAACACTTAAAATACTATTTCTTCCTTCAATCTTTTTTTTTTTTTTTTTTTTGAGACAAAGTTTTGCTGTCACCCAGGCTGGAGCGCAGTGGCGTGATTTCAGCTCACTATAACTTCTGCCTCTTAGGCTTAAGCGATTCTTGTGCCTCAGCCTCCCAAAGAGCTGGGATTACAGGCATGTGCCACCACGCCTGGATAATTTTTGTATTTTTAGTAGAGACAAGGTTTTGCCATCCAGGCTGGTCTCGAAATTCTGAGCTCAGGTGATCCGCCTGCCTTGGCATCCCAAAGTACTAGGATTACAGGCCTGAGTCACCGTGCCCAGCCCCTTCCTTCATATTTTAATATCCACAGCTTATTCAATATTTATGAGTACTGGCAAGAGCACTTTGTAGAATATATACAAGAAATATGATATGGTGCTCTCTCTTAAGAGGCTTGCAGCCAAGTAGCATAGGCAGAGACAACAAAAATTGCAAGGCAAAATGAAATGAGTACTATCATAAAGGTCCAAAGGGCAATGGAAAGGAAGAGTTAGGATAATTCATTACAACTGAGAGAAACTGGGTAAGGCTTTTTGGAAGGAGACGCACTGAAGCAGTCTTGAGACGATGAGCAGTAACTTGATTTGATGCTGAAAGCATGGAAAGGATGTGTTTTACCCAGACCCTCAGAAGTCTGAAACCTACGTAGTAGGTTTCTAAACTTATTTAGTAGGCTACTAAACCTATTTAGTAGCAGTGATTTTATCAAGCGTGATATGATCCGATCAGTGTAAGGAGAAAAAATGACGGAAATCTTGATGTTAAATAAGTTAGACTGAACTAGGTGGTACACGGTGACTAGAAAAAAGGAAAAAAAAGAACAAAAGGATAGATACTAAAAACTGGAAAGGATTGCTAAAGAAAAGAAATCAGCGAAATGAAATGTCTGGTTTGCCTACTGGTAGAATAGTGGTTTTGGGGAGGAGGAACATATGTTTTCTGTTAAGACAGTACAGTAATTTGGACCATGTAGTTTTGTACATATTCACCATGAGACAAGATGCAAGACAAAACAATATTTTATATATATTTAGTAAGAAGTATGTGGCATGATCTTGGAACTATCAACCTGTACAGAAATACAGTTGCTAAATTCTATCTTTTTCCTCCTCCTCCATCTCCTCTGGAGTTTATTCTCTTTTACTTAGTTATTAATCACTAGCATTCAAAGTTCTGAGCCTTTTATCTTCTCATTCTATGCCATATTCTTTCTCCTAAGGAATCTCAATCATACAACATCAATTATTATCTATATACTAAACACTCCTCATTATTTATATTTCTAATCTTAAGTTTTCCTCTGAGTTTGAGACCTATACACATCACCCATTTAATGTCTCTCCCCTTGGGTATGGCAAATGTATCTAAGTCAACATATCAGATCAATTCATGGTCTTTGCATTAACATCTAATTCTCTTCCAAAGATCTCTCTTCCAGAATGATCCCAATATTCACCTTGTCGCAGAAGCTGGCAACTTAGAAATCACTACTGATATTCTTGTCCACCATTTCCTCATATTTGGTTCATTCTCTTTTTATTACTATATCCTTTCACCTTTACTACTACGCTTTCTATTCAGCACACACAGTCTATCATTATCAACCCTCCTCAAAAGCACCCTACATTCACTCTTGCCCCTCTCCAACCTACTTTCCATACTAGAATAACCTTTCCAAAATAAAATTGATGACATCCTTCCTGTCCACATACACTACACCCTTGTAGAAAACCCTTCAATATTTTTCTAGTGCTCTTAAAGTCCACAATTGGCTGGGTGCCCAGTGCAGTGGCTCATACCTGTAATCCTAGCACTTTGGGAGGCCAAGGCAGGTGGATCACTTGAGCTCAGGAGTTCGCAACCAGCCTGGCCAACATCACGAAACCTCGTCACTACTAAAAATACAAAAAAAAAAAAATTAGCTGGGTGTGGTGGTAGGCACCTGTAATCCCAGCTACTCAGGAGGCTGAGGCAGGAGAATCGCTTGAATCCCGGAGGCGGAGGTTGCAGTGAGCCAAGATTACACCACTGCACTCCAGCCTGGACAACAGAACAAGACTCTGTCTCCAAAAAAAGAAAAAGAATAATGTCCACAATCTTTAACATGGCTTATAAGGCTTTACAGAGTCTGGCTCCTATGTATCTTTCTGGCCTTATCTCACATCTCTCCCTTCCTTACTCTTCTCCAGCGACTTCCTCATATATGTCATGCTTCATCCCATATGGAACCTTTGCACGTGCCTTTCTTTTTATCTGGAATGCTCTACTCCATCTCTTTTTTTTGAGACGGAGTTTTACTCTTGTTGCCCAGGCTGGAGTGCAATGGCGCAATCTTGACTCACCACAACCTCCACCTCCTGGGTTAAAGCAATTCTCCTGCCTCAGCCTCCCGAGTAGCTGGAATTACAGGCATGCACCACCACACCTGGTTAATTTTGTATTTTTAGTAGAGACAGGGTTTCTCCATGTTGGTCAGGCTGGTCTCGAACTCCCAACCTCAGGTGATCTGCCCACCCTGGCTTCCCAAAGTGCTGGGATTACATGTGTAAGCCACCGCGCCCGGCCCCATCTCTTTCTTAGCACATTTAAATTGTTCTGAATCTTAAGGTTTCAGGTCAAACATCATTTCCTAAGGGAAAATTCCTATTTCTCAAAGCACTATACCTTTATTCCTTTATTTTATATATATATCACTAAAAAGATTATTTGTAGTATGTTTCCCCTACTAGATGATAAAACTCCAGTAAGTGCCAGTACAATGTTAATTTTTCTTTATAAAGCACCCCACCTCCACCCTTTCCCCAAAGCCTGATACTTAACAGGTTTGCATTAAAAATTATTTGAATATATGACGAATGAATGTGATTCAATAGAGGTGATACTAGACACGATATAAACAGATGCAAACACCAAAACAGGGATATACATGAGGCAAAAGAGAGACCTGGGGCAACCTAAACTTAAAAGACAGGCAGAGAGGAAGCAAAGGGAATGGGAAGTTATTGGTTAACCTGGGTAAAGAATTTCAGTATGGGATGATGAAAAAGTTTAGTATAGGATGATTAAAAGTTCTGTTCATCTGGATATGATAGTGACAGTTGCACAGTAACGTGAATGTACTTAATGCCACAGAACTGTACATTTTAAAGGGTGAAAATGGATAATTTTGTATTATATAATTTTATGACAATTTTTAAAAGATGGGCGGAAAAGGAAGAACCTTCAATGAAGACTGAAAAGAAAAGAGCAGGGAGGGTAAATAAGGGTTAAAAAGACAATACACTGTCAAAAGAAACAAGTGAAGAAAATTTTAGGAACGAGTGATAGTGCACTGCAGAGAACCTGAGTGTGAAGGAGTAGAAACTGTTCTGCTGCAATATAGTACTTAAGTTCCTAGGAAGTTCTGCCTTACCAAAACAGTGCATTTCAAAAAAAAAAAAAAAAAAAAAAAAAAAAAACTCCTTGGGAAATGGGGGACTTACAACTACAAAGTTCAAACTTGTAAAAGCCAAATTTTTTTCCTTAAAAAATTTTAAACATATATATTTCAAATAGACATTGTATTTATAGCTATAGCTATTGTTCTATGAATACAGCTATAAAATTTAAACCATGTTAAACAGATGCAGTACTTAATTACATCTAGTTATGGTTCAAGAGTAACTGCCTCTCTTACACACTCCTAATATCCTCCTTACAATAAAGCAAAAAGCCACTCACTCAAAATTGCTATTTCTGAGGTGCAACAGCTTTGCTTTTATCCCTCAAGTCCAAATTGCTAGTCACCAATTGCTAATAATTCGTACTCCTTAGGACGTTTTAAACCAGGGGTTGGTAAAATAGCCTTCAGGCCAAATCTAGTCCACCACCTGTTTCTGTAAGTAGTTTTACTGGAACACAGCCATGCTCACTCATTTATGTATAGTCTATGGCTGCTTGCATGCTACAAGAGCAAAGCTGAGTAACTGCAACAGAGATCTTACAGGCAACAAAGACTAAAATTGTTTATTATCCGGCTTTTTGCAGAAAAAGTTTGCCAGAGCTTTATTTATTTGTTTACTGTCTGACTCCTCTTATAATAATATAAGCTCCAAGAAGTAAGTCATTTTTGGTCTATTATATTCACTGCCATAATTTCAGTGTTGAGAACAATGCCTATTATAGCAGATTCTCAATACATACTGTTGAATGATGAAAATTCCTAATTAAATGGTAAATTATATTATTTCTAAGTTGGGGTATTGAAAACAGTTTCTAGGATATATAAAAAAAATTTTTTTTTTTTTTTGGGCAACAGGGTCTTGCTCTGTCACCCAAGCCGTAGTGCAGTGGTGCAAACACGGCTCACTGCAAGAACTTCCTGGACTCAAGGGATCCTCCTGCCCCAGTCTCCCAAGTAGCTGGGACCACAGGCGCACACCACGCCTGGCTATTTTTTTTTCTTTATTTTATGTAGAGGTGGGGTCTCACTATGTTGCCTAGGCTGGTTCTGAACTCCTGGGCTCAAGTGATCCTCCCAAAGTGCTGGCATTACGGGTGTGAGCCACCACACCTAGCCCTCTAGAAATACTCTTTTTTCTTTCAGTCATGCTCCTTCTGTAGGAATATTCTCAATACATAGTCAGAAAATTTCCATACTTAATGTTCTGTGGCATTAAGTAGTACATTAATGCCAGAATTTGGTCAGAAAATGTTAAGTTATTTAAAATGGTATACTAGCTTGTCTACATTATTTCAAATAATCTCTTATGAATATAACTTAAATCAAGCTCCAGGGTACAATTCAAACAAACAAGCTGACAGTCATACTAAACATTTTTTAAAAATCACATAAAGGCTATTGTTTTTTCAAAAGTGCTTCTTTGGCCAGGCACGGTGGCTCACACCTGTAATCCCAGCAGACTGGGAGGCCGAGGCAGGTAGATCACCTGAGGTCGGGAGTTGGAGACCAGCCTGGCTAACACGGCAAAATCTCATCTCTACAAAAAATACAAAAATTAGCCAGGAGTGGTGGTGGGCACCTTAGTCTCAGCTACTCAGGAGGCTGAGGCTGTGATGAACCAAGATCGCACTACTGCACTCCAGCCTGGGCAACAGAGCGAAACTCCATATCAAAAAAAAAAACAAAAACAAAACAAAAAAAAAAACAAAACGGCTTATTTTCATAGAGGAAAAGTAATACTTTAGTGTCATACTGACCCAGATTCAGAACCTCTGTAATAACATCCCATAAGTTATTTGCATGTAATAACCACTACCCCTTATAGCCAAATAAACTTCATTTTATGTATGCCACTTTAACTGTCCCCTCTGCTTCTTGTGACCATTTTCAGCTTAAAGTCTAACCACAAGGCACATATTGTTTTCTATAATAAAGCCAAAATAAGTAATTTTAAGTACATGGCTGCCAAGTAAATATAAAGCAGAAAAACAAAAACAAAACTAATCATGCATCCATCTTTTACTATCTGAGTATTTCATAAAACAGTAAGAGTCATAAAACAGACTCAGAGAAATACAAGAAGAAATAAACAATATTTTTCCTACATTTCTGCCCACACTGGCATGCTACATTAAATGTCATAAATAGCCACAGACACATTTTGTCAGCTTTGTGAATGCTATTAAACAAAAGAGCATAAAAGCAGTTTAAACCTAAAATGCCAACTAGTTTTACATAACAAGGGAAATGAATACATTTACTTAGCACTTACTGTTAGCCAGAAAACACGCTAGGCTCTTTCACATAACACTTAACCCTTAAAATTACCTTTCAAGGCTCATCATTCTTATGAGACAACCGAGCTCACAGAATCAAATAATGCAGTGACAGAGCAATTAAGGGCTAGAGTGAGAACAAGGTCTCTGTAGTTCTCCGCTTGTATCTTTCTACCACATCAGTTTCCCCAAGGAGTGGAATGTGAGATGATTTTATACAACACCAGACATTTTATATTTTAATAGTTACGTAACTTGTATTTTAAAAAAAAGCTTATCATACGAAATTCATTATTTCATGGATATTATTCTTTAGGATGAGGCTAAATAAAAACAAGATTTTTTAAAACGCTATTAAGTAAATGATAGGCCAGGGTTATATGAACATGGGAAAAACTCTCATGACCGTATGAACAATGAAATTTGAAAAATGCTCCAAGCAAAGAATTGCTTCCTAAAAACACACTGCTCAACATGTATGGTTTTTGACTAAAGAAAGCAAAGAGATGAATTTACAAATAAAATTATAGACATACCTGACATAGTTTGATCAAGTTTGTGGATAAGAGATTTTTTAGCACACTCAACATCAGGACTTGGGTAATCCAAAACTTGCCTGCACCAAACTAATGGACTAACCGATTTCTGCATTGGTGTAAGTTTTTTCTTTGGTGATGAATACAGCCTAGAAGAAGACAACAAAAAACAGAAAATTCCTTATTAAGCACAAGGTTATATAAAACAGGGATCCTTTTGGATCAATTTAAATAGGGGAGAACAGAGTAAAAATCATGGAGTATATTTTAAATCACCCACATTTACTTACTGCACAGGAAATTATAGTAAAACAATCAATATAAATCCAAATTTCAAATACTAAGTGAACCCAAATGAGGTATTCCTAAAGTAGGTGCTTTATTAAGACTATGAGAAAACACCTATCTTTCCAGCAGTTTATTCTATTTTCAACAGTACTTGACAAACTCCTTAATATATCCATATTATTAAATCTAGCTAGGAAGCAGGAGGAGGAGCTAAATTCCTTGCTCTGCACCTATTTCCCTTCCCACCACATACACAAACATCTACCATTAGTGATTCATTCCTTTTAGTTAAGCAGTATCCAATGTGTAGTCCTCTTTTCAAATGACAATGTGTTGGACAAAAGCAATACTTTAAACCCTAAATAACTAAATGTGAATCAATTACTAAATTGCTTCAGTTTCAGAAAAGAACCAAGAGACAGTATTTTATAAGCTAATGGCGAAGGTATACAGAAGGGAAAAGTTGAGCAGAAAATACGGAGGCGTGTACATAAATTTTCTACATGTTTCTCAGATTAATCCAGATTATGTCAGTTATTATTAATTTATTTCAAGTGTGACCCCTTATGAAAAATGCAAATAGTTATTGATTTCTAACCAGGGTGATTTTCAAATTAAGACACGTTAAGTGGAATTTATGAAGCAAAATTAGGCTTTGATACTGTATATCTAGTGAAAGATTTCAATAAGGATAATTTCACATTTACATTAATCAAGTTAGTGTAATAATATGAAGTGTTGTTTCACTGTAAATATTTAAATAAATGCATATCTACAGAACTACAATAGACAAACTACTTTTAGTGGCAACAGTACCTTTTCCATCACTTGTCTCTTTTCCCCATCTATAACTTAGGTCTGTCACTCACATGCATTATTTAGTTTTTATCAAGATCATCAAGGCTAACTAATGGGGGTAGATGACCATTTCTTTAGTCTACAATCCAAATTCATTTGACAAAAATAGTGAAATAAAATCTCAATTTATGGAATAACTGTCAATTCAAAATGAAATCAATGGGGTTCATTCTATTTCCAATTTAAATACTGCAAAGATTCCTTAACAAAAATCTCTACCTCAGCAACTCCACTTTAAAAATTGTCGTAAATTTTACATACTGATATCCTATGTCAGCGAATGTTTAGCAAGGTAAACCTCTATAGATGAATAATAAACAATAATAAAACAATTTTATGACATTGTCACTACTCTTTCAATATATATATTTTTCCTACACTGACTGGTTTTACATAATTTACCCACATGGCTCACATGTACTAAGTACATAGTCCCCCTACTGCTGGCTATAAAATTCGTTTTCAAAAAGTGCAAAGCAGGGCTGGGTGCAGTGGCTCATGCCTGTAATCTCAGCACTCTGGAGGTCAAGGTGGGTGGATTACCTGAGGTCAGGAGTTCAAGACCAGCCTGGCCAACATCTCTACTAAAAATACAAACCCCGACCCCTTGCCTGCGTGTGACGTCAGAATCGCCATGGCCAGCCATCCGAACTGGCAGGGCTGCCCAGGAGCTGCAGGACAAGCACCAGGAGTCCCTCCGGGTAGCTACTACCCTGGACCCCCCAGTAGTGGAGGGCAGTATGGCAGTGGGCTACCCCCTGGTGGTTATGAGGGTCCTGCCCCCGGAGGGCCTTATGGACCACCAGCTGGTGGAGGTCCTTATGGATACCCCAATCCTGGGATGTTCCCCTCTGGAACTCCAGGAGGACCATATGGCAGTACAGCTCCAGGGGGCCCCTATGGTCAGCCACCTCCAAGTTCCTATGGTGCCCAGCAGCCTGGGCCTTATGGACAGGGTGGCGCCCCTCCCAATGTTGATCCTGAGGCCTACTCCTGGTTCCAGTCGGTGGACTCAGATCATAGTGGCTATATCTCCATGAAGGAGCTAAAGCAGGCCCTGGTCAACTGCAATTGGTCCTCATTCAATGATGAGACCTGCCTCATGATGATAAACATGTTTGACAAGACCAAGTCAGGCCATATCGATGTCTACGGCTTCTCAGCCCTGTGGAAATTCATCCAGCAGTGGAAGAACCTCTTCCAGCAGTATGACCGGGACCACTCGGGCTCCGTTAGCTACACAGAGCTGCAGCAAGCTCTGTCCCAAATGGGCTACAACCTGAGCCCCCAGTTCACCCAGCTTCTGGTCTCCCGCTACTGCCCATGCTCTGCCAGTCCTGCCATGCAGCTGGACCGCTTCATCCAGGTATGCACCCAGCTGCAGGTGCTGACAGAGGCCTTCTGGGAGAAGGACACAGCTGTACAAGGCAACATTCGGCTCGGCTTCAAGGACTTCATCACCATGACAGCTTCTCGGATGCTATGACCCAACCCATCTGTGGAGAGTGGAGTGCACCAGGGACCTTTCCTGGCTTCTTAGAGTGAGAGAAGTACATGGACATCTCTTCTTTTCCTGTCCCTTTAGAAGAACATTCTCCCTTGCTTGATGCAACACTGTTCCAAAAGAGGGTTGAGAGTCCTGCATCATAGCCACCAAATAGTGAGGACCGGGGCTGAGGCCACACAGGTAGGGGCCTGATGGAGGAGAGGATGGAAGTTGAATGTCCTGATGGCCATGAGCAGTTGAGTGGCACAGCCTGGCACCAGGAGTAGGTTCTTGTAATGGAGTTAGTGTCCAGCCAGCTGAGCTCCACCCTGATGCCAGTGGCGAGTGTTCATTGGCCCATTACCGTTACTACCTGTGTTCCCTCACCAGGCCATCCTGTCACACGAGCCCATTTTCTCCAAAGTGGAATCTGACCAAGCATGAGAGAGATCTGCCCATGGGACCAGTGGCTTGGATTCCGCTACACCCATAAATCCTTGTATGTTAACTTCTAAGTGCCTGGGGCTGGCCCTGCTCAGACAAATCTGCTCCCTGGGCCTCTCTGGCCAGGCTCTGCCTCCGCGGCTGGGAGTCCTCACTTGCCTGCCATACTCTGCTCACCTCTCCCTGCCAATACTTTTTTTAATTTGCATTTTTTTTTTCATTTGGGGCCAAAAGTCCAGTGAAATTGTAAGCTTCAATAAAAGGATGAAACTCTGGGAAAAAAAAAAAATACAAACTCCATCGCTACTAAGAATACAAAAAATTAGCCGGGTGTGGTGGTGGGCGCCCATAATCCCAGATACTCAGGAGGCTGAGGCACAAGAATCGCCTGAACCCAGGAGGTGGAGGTTGCAGTGAGCCGAGGTCACAATCACACCACTGCAGTCCGGCCTGGGCAACAGAGCAACACTGTCAAAAAAAAAAAAAAAAAAAGCCTCAAAAACATTATGTTCAGTGAATGCATACTGACACTTAAGAATCCATTTACATGAAATGTCTAGAAAAGCATATGGAGCAGAAAAAGAGATTTGTGGTTGCCTAGGGCTGGAGGTAGGAATGGGAATGAGGTTTCTTTTTAGGGTGATACAGATGTTCTAAAATTATACGGTAGTGATAATTATGGTAATGGTTTGTCATTGTAAATATACTAAATTCACTAACATATAATGACTTTTTATGATATGCTGATTATAAGCTATTAATAAATGTTATGGTATATAAATTATATCTTGATAAAGCTGTTTTTAAAAAGTTGCAACGTGCTTTGGTATCTTTAAAAATACAGAAACTACTACAAACTAAATTAATACAACAATAATTCAAAATCAACTAAAACATCACAACTGCCCCCCCACCCCGCAAACCCCTCATTTCTTTCTTGTTGTTAATAGCATTATAATTCTTTCAGTTATAAAGACTAAAACCTTGTGAGTAATTTAGGATTGCTCCATCTTTTTTATTTTCTACCCTGATCAAAATAAACTATTTTTTCTCCCATTCCTGTACTTGCTCCCTTAATTGGGAATACAGAATGCTCCTTCCTTCCATTAGCAGATTAAAGCAACTTGTCCATACTTATTCATAGTGATGAAAAGGGAGAAAATGATACAGTAAGCCCTGAGTACACTAACTTTCTATATCACTCTATCCTCTTATCTGAAGTCTAAAAACAAAGGGCGTTGGCCCATATGATATTGGCACAAAATTCCTTGGTCAGGTAACCTTTGGTTGAGGTTTCAAAGTACACACTTCTAAACTTGCCAGAGGACACATGAGATGAGCTGTATCACATAACTGAATTCATCTTTAGCAGGACCGAGTTGTTTAAGTCTCTCAATTTAAAAGGAAATCCTAAGTAAACTCTAATTACAAATAAATCTATTGGTAATAACAATATATATCATATTCTTTGTTCATTTCTTACAAACACATGGACTTGTTCGAAATAACTATTTTGCCCACTAAAAACATTTTTTTTCATTTTGACACTTAAGAATTTCTTAAATCATAGAATATGATTTAATCAAGAGGGACATAATTCTGATGAACACAGCAAGTTTATTTACAGTTAATGCAACCTAAAACAGGTTGAGATTCAACAAGTTTTTACTTGCTTAAAAAAACAAACATTACTTCATTATCCTATTACTACTAAAATTAAATCATGGAGGCTCAATGGGGAGCTGAGCCTCCAACCTGGCAAACAAGGCACTGGGACATCCTATTCACATGCAGATAGTCAGACTGGATTAAAAAATAAGACACAATGATACATTGTCTACAAAAGAAACATCTTAGATTCAAATTCATAAATAGGTTGAAAGCAAAAGAATGGGAAAAAATAAGACCATGAAAAAGTAACTATAAGAACTAGAGTGGCTATTAATAGACAATAGACTTTAAGATACAAAAAATTACTAGAAACAAAAAGGGACGTTTCAATACATCAGAAAGATATAACATTATAAATTTAAACATACCTAACGACAGTAATAGAACTGAAAAGAAAAATAAACAATTCAGAAATTTTGTTTTGTGGTTTCAATAGCTGACTCTTAATAACTGAAAAAAGAACTACATGGAGAATCAGAAAAAATACAGAAGACTTCAGCAACATTATCAACCAACTTTACTTAACCATTTATGGATTATGGGATGCTCCATCCAACAACAGAAAACACATTCTTTTTAATTGCACATGGAACATTCTCTGGGATAGACCATGGGCTAGGACATAAAGCAAGTCTTACTGAATTTTTAAAAACTGAAATTATTTAAAGTATGGTTTCTGACCACAATGGAATTAAATTAGAAATCAGCAACAGAAAGTAATTTAGCAAATTCCAAAAATTTGGAAATTAAAAACATACTTATAAATAAAGTCAAATAATGTATCCCACAGGGGAAATCAGAAAGTACTGTGACCTGAATAAAAACAAAAACACAACATACCAATATTTATGTGATGATGCTCAAAAAGTGCTTAGAGAAAAATCTGTAATTTCAAACACTTAGGAAAGAAAAGAGGTCTAAAATCAATAATCTAAGCTTGAAAAATTAGAACAAGAGCAAATTAAACCCAAAGTAGGCTGGACACAGTGGCTCACGCCTGTAATCCTGGTACTTTGGGAGCCCGAGGCTGGTGGATCACCTGAGGTGAGGAGTTCAAGATCAGCCTGGCCAACGTGGCAAAACCCCATCTCTACTAAAAAATACAAAAATTAGCGGTGGGGGCGGGGCATCTGTAATCCCAGCTACTCAGGAGACTGAGGCAGGGAGAACTGTTTGAACCCAGGAGGTGGAGGCTGCAGTGAACCAAGATCCTGCCACTGCCCTCCAGCCTGGGCAACAGAGCGAGGTTCCATCTCAAAAAATAAAAATAAATAAATAAATAAACCCAAAGTAGCCAGAAGGAAGGAAATTATAAAGATTAAAGTAGAAATCAGTGAAATAGAAAACGGAAAATTATAGGGGGAAAAACTGCTTTTCTGTTTTTGTTTGTTTGAGATGGAGTCTTGCTCTGTTGCGATCTCAGCCCACAGCAACCTCCGCCTCCCAGGTTCAAGCTATTCTCCTGTCTCAGCCTCCCGAGTAGCTGGGATTAGAGGCACCCGCCACCACGCCTAGTTAGTTTTTTGTATTTTTAGTAGAGATGGAGTTTCACCATGTTGGCCAGCCTGATCTCAAACTTCTGACGTCAAGTGATTCATCTGCCTCAACCTCCCAAAGTACTGGGATTACAGGCATGAGCCACTGCACCCGGCCTATTCTTTTTTTAAAGACAAAAAAAGGATAAATTTTTAAGTGAGACTGATCTAGGAAAAAAGAAAACATAACTTACCAGAAACAAAAGAGAGGACATCGCCACAAACACTACAGACTTAAATTAAAAGGAATATAAGCGAATATTATGAACAACCTAATGCTAATAAAATAGATAAACAGATTAATTCCTAGGAAACATAAATTATCAAAAAAAACTCTAAAAACTCAAGAAAGAGAACCTGAATAGACTTTTATAAACGAGACTGAATTAAAAATTTAAAAACCGGCCTGGCGCAGTGGCTCACACCTGTAATCTTAGCACTTTGATAGGCTGAGTCGGGTGGATCACAAGGTCAGTAGATCGAGACCATCCTGGCTAACACAGTGAAATCCCGTCACTACTAAAAATACAAAAAAAACGTAGCCAGGCATGGTGGCACGGGCCTGTAGCCCCAATTACTCAGGAGGCTGAGGCAGGAGAATCGCTTGAACCTAGGAGGCAGAGGTTGCAGTGAGCCGAGATCCAGTCACTGCACTCCAGCCTCGGTGACAGAACAAGACTCTGTCTCAAAAAAAAAAAAAAAAAGAAAGAAAGAAAGAAAGAAATTTAAAAACCTTCCCAGAAAGAAAAGTTCAAGTCCACATTTTTTCATTTATTAATTCTATCAAATATTAAGGAAATAATGCCAATATCAATCCTACACAAACTCTTTAAGAAAAACAGACTTAATGGTAAAAGACCACATAGTTTCTCCTAAGACTGGGAACAAGGCAAGGATGTACACTCTCATACTTTTATTAAATGATATACAGTACAATAAGGCAAGAAAAAAAAAACTAAAGGTATTCTGATTGAAAAGAAAGAAGTAAAACATGTTTAATCGCAGACAACATGATCCTGCACATAGAAAATCCTTTCTAAAACTCTTAAATTGAAAGAAATTATGTAACAAATGTGTTCTGCAAGGTCACAAGACACAAGATCAATAAGCAAAAAATTGTATTTCTAAACACTTATCAATAAACAACTTGAATATGAAATAGATATAACAATTTCATTCACAACAGCATCAAAAGGAATAAAATACTCAGGAATAAATTTAACAAATGAAATGCAAGATGTACACTGCAAACTACAAAACACTGCTGAGAGAAATTAAAAGAAGACATATGAAGAGATATACAATGTTTACAGATCTGAACACAAGACTGACAAGATGTTAACTCCACCAAACTGACCTGTAGAATCAACATATCCCTAGAAAACCTCAGCAGGCATTTTTAACAGAAACTGACAAGCTGATCGTAAAATTTATATAAAAATGCAAAGGCCAAAGAATGGATAAAACAATTTTGGGAAAATTTTTTTTTTAATTTTGCAAATCTCTGGACTTGCCTGCTTTTCAAATTCATCTTGTACACTGCAGTCAGTGTTTTCTAAAATACAAATCTGACTTTATTAGTATTCTTTTGCTAAAAATTCTGTGCCAGTTTCCCTCTGCCCTTAAGATGGAGCTTTTTTCTAAAAATGATCCCCACAGCTCTTGAGACCTAACCAATGATTTAACTGTCGTAGTTCTTCTTTAGCTTCATTTCTCATCTTCCTCCACCACACAAATTTAAATAGCAGCCATATGGAAGTAATTTCTATTCCTGGAAAGTTCAACACTTTTGCTTCTAGGTCATTTGTGCATGTTGTTCACCTTGTAACAAGTTTCATTCCATTTTTTGCTTCCTCACCCTCCCCTGCTTAACTTCACCTAGCTCTTCTCTATTTTCTACTGGGTATCAGCTTAAATGTCAATTCTTTAGGAAAACCTTCCTGGAACATCTCTAATAAGATTGTATT